CACACTGCTGGCTCATGGTTAACCTGTCGTCCACCAGGACACCCAGGTCCCTCTCCGCAGAGCTGCTCTCCAGCAGGTCCACCCCAGCCTGTACTGGTGCATGGGGTTGTTCCTCCCCAGGTGCAGGACGTACACAGGGTAAACCTGCTATTAAAAATAAGCAGGACTGTTCTGTTTGCTTATCAAAGCCTCAGGAGAAACTTTGAAACCCAAAAGGTAAAGGGAGTCAGGAGCAGCCCGCTAGCGAGTTAATGAATTTCGTTGCTGGGTCCCCTGGGAGCGTTCGCGCTACGAGGGGTGGCCGTTCCGCTTCTACGGCGCCTACAGAAAGGAACTGCCCGGGTTCTTCACCACCACGCGGGTACATCCCATCGGCTGGCTGGTGCTCATGCAGTCAGGGTGCTGCTGCGCTAACAGCTCAGCCGCTCCGAACTGCCAGGAAGGCCACGCGCTGGCCCGCACACGCCAAAAAGCCAGCGTTACTCACATTTTCTTCTTCTTCACCGCGCCCAGCTGCACGAGAGCTGCCAAGGCGTTTTTCTGCATGTCAGAAGAGAGCGCTTCGTAACACTGCGTGCTGCCTGCAGAGAAAGCAGAAACGCCGTCAGAAGTTGTATCGCTGCCCGTTAACAGGCTACGCCTGTAAAACCGTACGGCGTAATGGCTGTACGCACCCTTCTCAAGAAGCTGGAAAACAAAGTTGCGGACTCCAGGGATAAACTGCTTCTCTGTAAAGGCTTCTTTTGTCTCCTTTGAGAGGTATCTGAAAATTAACTAACATTTAAAAAAAACACAACAGTTAGCACTTCTTTCCTTCGGATTGTCCGCTTGCTGTGAATGACAAACAGACGTGTCCTCGTAAGTGATAGTGTTACACTTTGAGAGGTGTAGGAGAGGAACTCCAAAGGTATCATTACACAGAGCATCCCAAACTTTTATTACTATTTAACAGGCATGAGAATCCTAATAATAAAAAAAGATTCAGTCTTAGTATAATAGTTACCTTAGACATTAATTTAACATTCCCGTTCTCGCAATGAAAAACGGCGTATTTTTTTTAAAGCAATTCCTGTTTTATAGATGGGAAAAACTGGGCAAATCAGCACAGTTCAGCCCAAGTCATCCACCAGATCGTTAACAGATTCCACTAGGCCCAAAGGTCTGCAGCCCCACCAACCTTCTGCCAACAGACCTGAGATTTGAGCCTCCTGGCTTCCTACACATGGCTTCTTACAGGAATGTAAGGGCTCAGTCGTATTAAAACTTGGGAAAACCGAAAGAATTTAAAGAGATACGGATGCAATGAATGATTCCCAAAAAAGCTATCGGATACAAGACGCAAACTCATCTCCGCACCTGGCAGGACAGTCCACATAAAATTAATTAAGCAGGAGCTCCTTGAAAGAAAGAGCAATGAACCTGGCAGCAGCAGACTCCCAGTGAAGCTTACAAACCCACAGTGGGCCACCACGTTACAAGGTAGTTACTGCCTTAGTCAACTGGAAAAGTCTGAGCCAAAAGCTAAAATGGGGACCCTGGGGAGAGGGTGATGTTCAAGGTATTTATTACTGCTGTTTTTAAACACTTGCACTCCCCAGCCATGAAAACAGTCATCATTTGCAGTGCAGAAGTATCACAGCTCTCCCAGTTTCCCTATAAAACGGGGGAAAAAAGGTAATTTTCTGAAGAACAACATACCTGATAACCTTCCACGAAAGGCCTGAACATAGCTGACAAGAAGGACACGACACCGCTTCCTTTGTCGGTAGGGTAGATCTCCTGTTGACTTGTTTGAACGGCATCGCATTTTGAAAGCAGAAAACACCCTTCCTCAAAATCCTGGGGAGGAGAAGCACAACCGAAATTTCAGCGTCTGCAGTAAGCGCAGCTACCTTTCCCCACAAAACCAACACCCAAACCCGCACAACAGGACACCGCTTCCATTTCCGAACTCAGCTCTCCAGAGACCTGAACCAAAATTTTCCGATACGCCTGAAGCACCCTTCGAAAAAGGCAGCGGGAAGACGTTCTCAAAGCCAGCGGCATCTCAGCGCACGACAGCCTAGGAGCGAAGACAGCGGCCGCGGCTGCTGTTGTAGCGGCCAGCCCAGGCTCCCCCGGGATTCTGTCAGAACAGGGTCAGCTTGTCTGGTTTAGGGCTTTTTTTCTGTGGATGGTTTTCATTTATTTGTTTATTTTTTAATTGCCTTTATCTCACGTCCACTGTTTGTGATAAATGATAACGCAGTTCACCGACCTGTCCTCTGCAACGGACAGAGCACAATGGCCAAAAGCTACAAATCACGGAAACATCAATGACAAAACCATTTTACTGCCAGGGCCGGCGTCAGGGGGAGGGGACGTGGGAGAGACACACAGACAAGAACAGGAGGGTTGGGACACCGGCGTGACAGACACACGGACGATCAGAGGAGCAGGTTGCTGAGAGGTCCCTTAACATGGAAGCAACTCTTTCACTGGACTCCAGTAAAGCCAGTCACAGAATCACAGAATCGCAGAATGACAGGGGTTGGAAGGGACCTCTGTGGGTCATCTAGTCCAACCCCCCTCTCAGCCTTCACTTCTCCAGGCTGAACAAGCCCAGCTCCCTCAGCCTTTCCTCGTAGGAGAGATGCTCCAGTCCCCTCACCATCCTCGTAGCCCTCCGCTGGACTCTCTCCAGGAGCTCCTCATCTTTCTTGAACTGGGGAGCCCAGAACTGGACACAGCACTGCAGATGGGGCCTCACTAGGGCAACGTAGAGGGGAAGTCATAGCCAGTCACCTTCCCAGTCCCTGCTTGCTTTTGGTACTTAAAAAAAGAAGCTGCAAGAGGCAAGACTTGCTAACAACGAAGAGTAAACGTAATTTCAGAGCAGCAATGGTGCCAGCCAGCCTTAAAAAAGGCCCAGTTTCCCTCTACCTAAAAAACTCTGAGATTTTAATATAGCTGCAAGCCTTGAACATTCTGCCGAGAATTATTCTTATCTCTTCTTTCTTATGCAGGAAAGATCGCAAATATCATCAGCAGCTGTTCGGCCTTAACATTGGTAAAAATCACACTTGATCAGTTTTAAATCCAAACCAAAGGTACACCTCGACTTACCACTTTATACTGGGTATGATGTTGAACCCATTTTTTTAGCCAACTCCGTGCTTGCCTGCATTTGAGCCAGCTGGGACCCAGCAGGATGTGTCCAACCCCGGGAGCAGAGAGCATTTCACAGCTCGCCCGTGCCCAGCCGCCTCAGGAGAGCGGGCAGATGCACTGAGCCCTGTGCTAAGGCAGCACGCCAGAACAGTACTGGAGCATCTCTCCTGCGAGGA